CTGGGAATAAGATTTGTGGTTCTCCTGTATAAGATCACAGCATATCAAGTTCTCAAGTCTGCCCTACCAAAAGGGGYTGATATAAAGGAGAAACTAAACATTCCATATCCATAATTAGATAAATAATACTTCAGGCAAGATATGGCACCTTTAAAAGTGCCTTTTCAGGCTTGGATTTTACTCTGCTTGTTACTACAGAAACCATCTAGCAACCAAAATCTAACACAGACTCCACCCAAAACAGAGAAAAACAATATAGACAGAATAGGTTTTTCCTCCCCCTTTTTTTTYCCCACTTTGCCCCCCCTTCTTCCTTTTTTTTGAAAGGGTGGGTGAGTGCTAAGGAAAGGTATCTTACTGTGCAAAGGATAGGAGCATTTTGCATGCAGTTGAAACAGTAAAGCTCTGATTACAGATGGCAGCAATGAAAGCAGGAATGAGTAATGAGCAATGAGAAATGCGTAATGCGGGATGAGGATATAATTTCCACACATCGGCTAAAGAAAGGTTTACACTCTTAAGCAATAAAAACAAACCATTAAGCCAGACCTGCACTGTCAGGAAGTATAAAACAGTTCTTGAAACTCTGCAGTTACTATACAAAAGCTTTTGTTTCATAAACTTTTGTTTCCTGATCTTCATAAAACATTAACATCAAGCTGCCATATGGCAATTAGCTGCCTCCTAAAATCAATAAAAAAACTACCCCAAAAATCAACAATTTATGAACAACCATACAACAAAACAACTCAATAATTATCCTCTTATAATAGTGTAGCAAAGCAGGTCTAATATAAAGACAGTGTGGATGAACTCCTCCTGTTGAGAGTACAACAAATCATGTTCCTCTCATGTGAGACCTCACCTATCTGGCAGGGGAGCAGGGATGTAGCCACCCAAACCCTGTAGGGGCAGGGAAAGTGTTCACATCTGGCTGTGGTGAGCCCAGRGGAGCAGCCCCTGCTCGGTGGGAATGGCCAATGCTCTCGGCAGAGCTTACCTCAACTGAAGATCCTCCTCTACATGTGCTGACCTCAGAAGTCCAACTGAATTTTGCGCAAAAATTATCAAGCCACTCGACAAAGCTGCTATTGAGTCTCAAAAGGACAAGGAGACATGCTGATCACATTTGTGTTTAGAGAGATGCTTATCTGAAATGCACAAAGGGTGACATTAACTATCACAATCTCTGCCTATATACGTTATGTAAGTGCCTAGAAGCAAAATGTTTCGGAGCTATTGGGCAACAAAGGCAGTTTTGCCTTCAAAATCTTTTGTTTCTCTTTTCTCCTTGTAGACTACTATAACACTAATAAGTACTAAAAAACTAAAGTAAGTACTAGTGTGCTGTGGTGACAGCATACCCTCAGTATTTAGCAGTCATTACCAGACTTTAAAAAGTTGCCAGAAAGCCCAAACCTTTCAGAAAAGCTGTCTGATCATCAACCCTATCTAAAAGAATTCAGGAACCCAACTGATCCCTGGAACTTCYTGCTACTCATCTGTGAACGTTTGCTCTATTTCTTTAAGTCCTAAACAAAGTCTTCAGTGCAGCACTCTCATGTCTCCAACTTAGAGAGTGAGGTTATGGTTATGGATTTAAATGTACATCACAAAACCAAATCTGGAGAAATTTATTGATGTGCTGAGCTTGACACATGCGTATTTACTCCTCAAAAGCAGTATGGAACTRATGATGCTGTGGCTAACACTAAGTTACAGTAACACTTACAAGAGTGGATCTTATTAAGTTTACGATGATACTTTGGCCTTCCAATACATTTTACCAAGGATGCAATTCCTTGTCAAGCATGATGTGTGCCTGTGCAAGGAATGTGGCACCACGCCATGAACCAGCTCCTGCTCATGCATAGACAAGTGCTGTAGCCAATTTTTTGGCAACAAGATTAGCATCCATGTGTTCTCATGCCTTAGAGGAGAAAAGAAGCAGCCACCACTCCGTAAAGAGCCTCCCTCAGTCTYGTTATACATGAAGGAACTGTGAGACTTCAGCCTCACAACACCAGAGCTGAGGGTCTGGTTAGAAGTGCTGTGGGTTCTTTACTGATTTTGTAGGTTTGTGATCACACCTTTCATGTTTATCATTAATTTTTCAGCACTTTGCAGCTTTAGCAAGCTTAGGTTTCACAGTACAGCAACACAGCCATGACCTGACTGCACAATCACACACCACAAACAGCAAATCCTGGCTGAACCTCCACGGCAGCACTGACAACCTTCCCAAAGCAACAGYCACAAACTCCTCCAGCACCAGGAAAGCTGGCAACAAGCAAAAGGCAAAATCAAATCCTACACATATGATGCTTCAGCCCTAAAAACATCAGCYACCAAAATAGCACCAGTCTTTCAAATAAGCACCTGGAGATTGTCCACTCAGCCAACCCRTAGGCTATGTATCACCAGCAGGGCCAACATCAGCTACCCCTTAAAAATGAACAGAGCCAAACTGCAGAGTGGTGGATTGTTCTCTGACAGCAGTTAAAAATACTGCTGGTACAAAGAAACACTTCAGTTTTATCTCATCACAGAACTTTACAGCCCAAGGTATTTYTAAGCTCACAGAAAAAAATGGAAGCAGCCAACAGGTAATTAGTTTTTCTCTCCTGTACTTGCTGCTTTTTGTGACAAATAGCAGAAAAGAACTGTTCTACAAGGAGACCTCTAAGACATCAAGTCAGCCTTTCTAACCAACCCATCTAGTTAGTATCTTTACAGCAACCCAGATGATTCTGGTAAAAAAAAAAAAAAAAAAAAAGTTTGGGGAGGGCCAGGAGAAAGAAGACAGATTTGTTAATGAAATATCAAGCTGGTAGAGGGCCCAAATCAGAGTTTCCCATAGCTGACTTAGAGAGGTCCCTGAAGGGCCCACTCTACCCACAGCTTTAGGAAGCGTTGCCTCAGTTCATCAAATCCAAAACTGCACCCACAACAGATCTCAAGGGTATGACGATTAAACTCCTTTCCTATTTCAGCACAACTTTCACACAACAACCCCCAGGCTCTGCCTGCTCACCCCAGGACCTGCCTGCCAGACCAGGCGTGGAACACACAACAGGCACAATCAGTATCAGCTTTAATGCTGYGTTTGCCAACTGCAAATTACACTTTTGTCCCCTACATGAAGGATTTAAAAACCAATAAGATGATGCAAGCACAAGTTGTTCTTGTAATGACTGCACAAGTGAACCATTTTTTCTTACAGACTGGACTTCTCAGAAAGAAATATCAGAATTTATTATCCAAAATAGATTTAAACATTTGGGAAGGGAAAAATAAAGGTTTCAAACACAAAACCCTGGAAATGAAGAGACGCTAATCTGCCAAACAGCAAAACCATCAGCTGAGGTTAGAGAGGAGGCTGAATATGACAACAGCTGTATACGGGGCAAAAATTGCAGATTAATTTCACTGTAACACTCCACAGAAGTGAGCTCTCATCTGAGGTGAGGAAGTATGCAAGGCTTTTCCAACTGTTAAAGACAAGGGCCGGTACAAATTAGGTAAGTATTCCTCTTTAGCATTGATAATCACAAAAAAAAAAGATGACATTTTAGTTTTTATTATTTTATATTTGGCCAGGACTTTTAAAGGAAGGACTTTTAAAGGAAACATCAAACATCCACTTTTCTGTAGGTCTAGAAAGGATTCAGTCTTCCCCCACCCCCACCTCCCATAGGATTTCTATTGGCCCTTATATTCACACTGCAAATTAGTTGGGAATAGCAGTATTTATACTAGATCAGCAATGTCTGGTTCTTATCCAAATGTTCCACCTAAAGAGGATGCCAGTTCTCATGGATTGGACAGCCCACCCTGCAGCATTCCTGAGAATTGTACAATATAATCTTGAAAGTCAGCAGAGTGGATTATCCACTTTTTTCTGGACTTGAACTTGTGACCTTAACAGTAGCACAGCAGAAAGCAAATGTGCTATGCACTTTGCCATAGTAACCTTCCATGTATTCTTTTCAACTTAAATACACACAACTGAAACAGCTACAATTTTGGAAAATTATGTACAAACCCTATATTTTTTTCTTTTTTTGATTACATATAAATACAAATTAGCTATTCTTCTAAAAAGTGGTTATAATAGTAAATAAATACAAAATAAGAATCTGACCATTATACTTCATGTGCTGGGGTTAAACCCATATAAAATGTACAACTAAAATACATTTAAAATCTTTAAAGGAATATTTCTCTGATTAAAATATTTGTTTTCCCAACTTTTTTTGTAGACATAAATATATTTTCAAAATAGTTGTGTTTTTTTTTCTTTCCATTTCATTACATAAATAAAGTCTTCATTGGGAAATATTAAAGTGTCAGCTATTTTTTTTTTTTGCATTTGTCTAACATATTTGCTGTGTTAGCGGCACCCACAACCCTCCACAACCATATCTTGATAGTTCTTTAATACAACTTTTTCATTTTCATCAAGGTAGAGCATGGAAATAGCACTCAGTTCTGTCGGCACACAGCAAGCCTTGGGGATTTTGGAATTCACTGAATTGACCAAAGTCTGAACAATGGCATGGTTTGTTGAGTTTAGATGATCTGCCAGTGGAAAAGGACATTCCCCATGGCAGTAAAAGGCACTATACCCCGGCGGGGCAACAATCCAGTCATTCCACCCCACATCATTGAAGTCCACATATAACGGATGCCTTTTGCAACTGTATTTGTGGCGTTTACGCTGTTTGTGTTTCGCTTGACGCTTTTCTCTTTTATGGAGCGGGTGTCCCTTGCCATCATGCCCAAACGTCACTAACAATGGCCTGAGCTGAGACCAGCTATCTTCATCCTGATGTAAAGACCTGCTAATCCTAACGTGCCTCTTGGAGGCACTGTTCTCTTTGTCCAAGTGAACCACCTCTACCACAAACCCATGATTAGGTTGTCCATGTGCAATCCACCTCAAAACAGCTGGCGTTACATCAAAACTTTCCCATTTACTTGCATTATGATGCACCAACCTGGTGTCCAAAAGTCTTGTGACAGGGTCCTTAGAGGTGGCTGTGGCTGGCTTTATAATTTCATAAATATTAATACGGTGATGGTAGCTGCTGTTGTTCTCAAAGGCTCCGTGCACCTGTTTCCGAAAAATCTGGAGTTCAGCTGAGGTGATAGACTCCTCGTCAGGGATGGAAGTTAAATTAAAGAAGAAACGTCGTGATGTTTTCCCACTCGTTTCTGGCAGTTCTTCCAAAACTTCTAATTTGATTAAGCAGGGAAAATAAAAATTTAAAAGAAGAGAAAAAAAGGAGAAAATCAGAAACTGAGACAAGCAACCAAACCCCCTAAGATTGCCTGCTATTGGCAGCTTTCAAATGACAGCTGCCATATGTGACACATAAGACTTGAAAGACTTTCAGGCAGAAAATACTGTCTCCCTTGTTAGTTTGTTTATGCAAGCRTGTATAGCATGAAGTTAAAAATTCTTCACTCATTGTTATGCATTTGGATTGGATGCTGGTGGCCTTTGCCTTCCAGGTAGTTATCATTAGAAGCAAGTAATATGCAGCATTAATTTGGAATTCAAGGACGTGAACGAGAAAACTCAAGCACCATAACTACTGGGAATCTCTACAACTGCTGGAGGACTTTGGGTAACTGCTGCATTCCTGCTTTTTCTGAGAATACGGCTCTAACATCAATCCCTTAAACTCCATTCTGAAAAAAAAACATTAGTCTGCAATTCAGGTGACTTATAAATCTTAATAGATGGATTCCTGTATCTTCAATTAGACACTGTGAACTCAGCATCCATAATAGTACTTTATGAAGCGCACCCCAGTATTTACCCAAAAGGGCCATAAAGAACAGCAGGAAGATTCAATTGCTAAAATAGGGGTGGATGTTAAAGARCTAATGAAACAAAGTCACCTCCAAACAAGAAGTTTTTAAACCATCAAAACCAAACATTCAAGGAGTCAATAAACCTCAGGCCATTCCCACCCCTGAGTAATAACTGAATGGAGCTTCAGAGGGAGTACAATRTACCTAGGGCTGCTAAGAAGTACTTTGTTGCTACAGACTTTGAAGAAGTTAAAAGTATTTCCCAAAATAAAATTCCCTCGTATAGTTTTTAATTTTGGTGCTAAACATACTGAAGGTGAAAAAAAAGAAAATCACTTTCTAATGGGGAGGCATAACTGTTGTTAGCAATTCTTAGTTGTGTAACCATTCCCCTTTGAATCCAGTACAACTTTTTGCATAAGGTAAGGCTCAGCCTTATGGTATTTCAGGACCAGACTAGCATTTGCTAATAGGCAAATATTTTGAATGGTCACAAGACAAACTTCTGCTTTCAAGAAATCACTAATGCAGTGAGAACTCCGTGAGAAAAATAGGAGCCACAGTGATTTTCTTCCAAATCTTATAAAAATTGTAACACTGATCTTMTAACAAAAATCAGCTTTTGTTGCAATTGTATGACTACTTCAAACTGCAGATTTTTACATTTGCTAAAACCTTATCAACTTTGCCCTTTCAGCTCCTCTCTCACTCAGTGCCTTGCCCACAATCCTTGGGTTTAACGTGAATGACCCACGCACTGGCTYTTCCCCATTAATTAACAGACATTTACTTCCCATTTAGGGAAACGTGGATGAGGAGAGGTTAGATTTCACCATTCATCATCCTCACGATAAGGCTTTCCACTAAACAGCACATCCACTTCTCAGAAGCCACCTCCTTCCAGAAACTCAAAAACTAATTAATATCTTTCCTTGACAGAGCAGTCACTCTAAAAGCAGGGGGAAACTTGAGTTCTCATTACTTTTGCAGAGAGGCCKCTGCACGGCAGCACCGGAGAGCAGCAGCCAGGAGCAATTACAACCTGGGGAAACGTTTCCCATAAAARCACGTGAGCTACACGCGCCCCACCGGCTCCTCGGGCCCGGTTAATGCCACAGCCGCCAGRTCGGCTACGGGAAACGCCCCCGGCTGCTGAATGAGGGTCTGTCCCAGAGAATCGGCTGCCTCGGGGGGCTGCAGGCGAGGAGTTGTCGCAGAGCTCGAGGCCTCGCAGGTAAGAGCCAAACGCGGCCACTGGGCTTTGGCCAGTCTGGGCACCGCGAACCCAGGTGGGTTTGACTGCAGCGCTCCTCGACGGCAGCCCCAGAGGCGGTCGCGATTGATTGCCTGACTGATCTCTCATGGGAATTAGATAAGGATTAGAAACCTCCGAAGTGGCCCGGCTCAGCTGCCCATCAGGGAGCCATCCGTRCTTTCTAGCCTCGCAGGAGACCAGCGAACTGCGGGAACGCTTAACGCAGAGTCGCGCTGGTATAGCGGGAAAAGTCAATAAAACAGGAGTGCCCCGGAGGACTGAGAGTGGGGGAAAGAGAGTTGGCACAGCAAAAGCTCCTCAACAGRGTCCGTCGGGCAGCACACCCGGCCGGGACCCGAACTGCGCGAATCCCGCGGTGCCGGCGGAAGGAATCCGCCCCCCGCTCCTCCTCCGGCCCTGCCCTCCCCTCCGGTCCCGCAGCCCGCGGAGCCCCCGCCCGCCCGTACCTTCGTGGTGGAAGCTGCGGACGGTGTTGGCGCGGCTGGCCGCCCGCTCCAGCGGGAAACCCAGCGCCGCCGGCTGCCCCAGCTGCTGCCCCGCGTGCAGGCGGTAGAGGTCCAGCATGTAGGGCGGGATGACGACGTCCTTGCCGGGGCTGGGCCGCCGCTTCAACCCGAACATGTGGAGCAGGCGCAGCTCGAACTCGCTGAGCAGGTCCTCGGGGCGCTGCGCGGCCGAGGCGGCGCGGCCCGGCTCGCTGAAGCGCCGCCGACCCACCTCCGGCATGAGCCCAGCCGCGCCGCCCAGCAGCGCCTGGCAGAGCAGCAGCGCCAGGAGCGAGCGGGTCACGGCAACCATGATCAACCTGCGCGGAGGAGGAGGAGGCGATGGGAGCCAGTCAGCGCGGACACCGCGCCGGGGGAGAGGGGGGACGGGCGGGGACGGTCCGCAGGTGGGACTCRCCCCGGTGCCGGGCCATGGCCGGCGGAGCCCCCGCCGCGGACCGGCCGGCGGAGCCCCCCGAGGGGCCGCTTCAGGTGCGCGACGGCACCGAAATCCCCGTGGCAGGAGATCAAAGGGAGCGAGGCGGGACGGGGGAGCGGAGCGGGGCGCTCCGCAACAAAGGAGCGCGGAGGTGAAGGGGAGGAGGGGACACGGCCGGGGGCACCGCCGGGGCCGGGGCGCAGGTGTGTGCCTGGCCGGGCCTCCCGCCGCCACGGCCGGCACCGCTCCGCTGGCAAGGRAAGGGGCTGCTGCCCAGTAAAGCCACTCCCCGCTGCACTCCCGTCCCGACCCCCGGGCTTCCCCCCACACACCCCGCCGAGCCGAGCCGCGGGGTCTCGGGGCCGGCTCTGTTTCCCCCGCGGCGCGGCAGCGGCTTCCCTCAGCGCAGGGAAAAGCAGAACTGTTTTCCCTCGGCGGAGTGGAAGAAGGGGAAGGAGAAAAATACATATCCTGCTACGTCCTTAGCCAAACCCACAGGATGACATTCTCCCCCGTGAAACTCTGGGCTGGATTATTATAATAGTAATAATAGTTATGATTAGTGTCCCGTCCCCCCTCTCTCTTCCAGAGCTCTAGCACCTCCGCCGTGGCCCACGGAGTCATCCTGCGGAGAAGGCTTTCAGCGGATCTGGGACCGCCAGAGCTATACCTGTGTGCAGCAGCAGGGGTTGTGTCTGCAGGAGGGTGTTCTGCTCTCGGGGTGTTTTTCCCGCATCACTTGGTGTTACTCCAAACTTCGCTGCTGTTCCTCTACAGCTGCCGAGCAGAAAATAGAAGCTCCCTGAAGTGCAGTCCGCCTCGGAAACATACTTTTAGCAGCTGGTTGAGAGGAGGCAGAAGGCAAGTCCCAGCCAGGGAAAAGGCTTCTCCCTTTTAAAAGCAGCGATCGTAAAGTTGTTTCTTCTTCTTCCTCCTCCTCGCGTGTGTGTGCCTGCCCGTGAATGGGTCCCTACGTGTCTACGGAGTTAGAAGGCTCCTTTTCAAAAATGTCCTTTGCATCACGCTCATCAGACAGATGGACATTTACCGAAACTCCCGCAGMAACATCAAGATGAAGCTTGACTTGTCTCCGCTCCCTTAAAAAAGAAAGGGAAAAGGAGGGAGGAGGATAAATAAAAGATGGGGAAAAAAAAAAAAGGGGTGGGGAGCCGCCCGCCGCCGTCCCGCGTGGAGCGGCCGCGCTAGGGCACCGCGCCGGGCTCCCCACCGGCCCAGCACCGCACCATGGCCGGGGGTGGCCGCCCGCCGCCGCCGCCGGGGCTTTTTGTTGCGCGGCGATGTCACGACCCYGGAGGCTCGGGGGCCCGCGCCAATCACAGCCGCCCTGTGGGAGCGGGCTGCGGCCCCGCACGGCTTTTAAAGGAGACGCCGCCTCCCTCCCTCGCTCCTTCCCTCCCTCCYCCCTCGCCCGCTCCCTCCCTCGCTGCGGCTGCCGCCCGCGCCCGGGTCGCAGTGCTGCTGGGGCGAGGGATGGGGCGGGCGCCTGTCGCCTTAAACTGTGGTACTGGCGGCCGATCTGACGCGGAAAGACCCCCAAGCTGCCCGGTCCCGCGTCCCGTTCCGGGCGGCAGTGGCGGAGCGGGACGCGGGACCGGGCCGGGTCGAACAATGACCCATTGTACCGCCCGAGCGCTCCGCCGCCGCAAATCGGATTAGCGCCGTGCCCCGGACTGCCGGGGTGGTAAGGTGCGAAGGTCACATAAGGTACTGGGAGAATCCCGGTGCTTTAGAACTACTTAAATATATATATATGTTCTTATTTACTTTTCTCCTCCCACCAAAGCGTAGAGCCCGCTGGCCAAGCCGGGGGCGAGAGCTGAAAATCTAGGTTTTTCCCTCGCTCTTATCTCTGAAAGAGAAGCGCCCGGACTCGGGAGGAGTCTCCTCCCGCAGCGCTGCTGCGGCGCATCCGATGCGGGCTCAGCCCGTGCGGGCGGCGGAGGGGTTGAGCTRAGTGGTTTTTATTTTAAGATGTGGCTGCCCTCCAGTGGTGGAACGGCGGCGGATCGCCGGATCCCGGAACGGCAACCCCGGTGCGAACCGCCCGCCCGCGGCCCCTCGCCGCCACCCCGCACCTGCCTCGGGGCCGAGCCGCGCTCCCGGGCCCTGGCCACGCCGGTGCTCCCCGGGCTGCAGCCTCTACAGCTCGTGGCATCACCCATGAAGGAGGACAGCGCTGGTACGCGTGAAGAAGGCAGACCCTTCAGTGCCTAGTGRTTGGGCTTCCAAAACCAACTGCATCCCTCGCTCCCTTTCCTGACACTGCCAAATCTCCCGATACAACGAGTAGCTCGGGAGCAGGGCTGTGTCCTTTGCCCCGTCCCTTGTTCGYCTGCCTGCGCTCTGCAGTAGGGCCAGACCTTGCACAGGTATGCAATACCTAGCAATTTAGAGTCCTCATCAAAGCCAAAGCCATCGGCACACCATCATTACCTGGGGTCCTGGTGCCTTCCYGGCAAGGCAGGTGCTCTGTGCTCCACCTCTTCCCAATATCTCTCAGGGGCTTCATTTGCAAAAGACACGGCCAGCCTGTGACACCTCGAATTACTGCAGAGGAGGACTTAATAACAACTGAGACTGTTCCGTTACCAGCTCCTTCTTTGTGAGCGGCCTTTTCCCTCCATCTTACGGCTTTTTAGTGTAGGAAAAAACACCAATGTGAGGTAGGAATTCAGCACCTTTGGGCTGGAATAATTCCTCCTGTAGACCTTCTTCCATTGGCTTTCCTATCCCGACTCCAGCAATGGCTGTGAAATGCCCCTGCAGGATGAGTAGCTCACCCAGCGAGGTACATACCAGCATAACAAACCACCCCAGAACTGCACCAGGATAATTAAAGAGCTGCTAAAGCTCTTACATGCCAACAGCTCCCAACACTCGCTAACCTGATTTTCACTCACTGCCGTGTGGACGGTAGGAGAGGGGACACCAAGCAAGGTGAAATCSCTCAAAAGTTGAGTTATTTTCCCGTTGCATTGCAGCACAGATAATGTTTAATTTTATGACTTCCTGCAAGTCTTTAGCATGTACTGAAAGTTCGTGYAGTGTGACTTCAGGGTATGCCAATTATGTAAATCAGCACTAAAATAACAATGGCAACGTAGTTTACACATCACTGACATTAAATGAGCACTTCAACTTCTAATTGCCATTCCAGTTCAATCTTAGTGGGTCATGCCAGGAAAAAGTCATTTCTTGCCTCAACACTTACTCCCTGTGCCTGGAGCATAGGCTGTGCTGTATGCCCGGCACAGTGTTATCTCCAGCAGCTTTCTGTGTTAGGATAATGAGCCTTAGAAGGGAGAAACGTTTGTGGTTGTTCTGAAGGGCTGCATATGCTCTGATCTGAGATCAACAGGGTCCYCTAGGTTTACCCCTCACTGATTTTAAGTATAAATAGGCTCTCACAGTCTCTTTTTGGCCCTCAAACACATTTCCCTTATACTTTGTCATGTCTCAGTCTATGTTAATATGGAGATGGCGGGGTAGCAACTCTGCCATCCCATCTATTTCCATAAAGTCTCAAAACACAACACTGAAGTAGCTAGAATACCCTCCCTGAATGCACTGACACCCACACCAGAACCTCAGCCATACCCCCCTTTTCCCCATAGAAAGATTTCTCACCAAGGCAGATTTAGCTCCCTTGAGGCAGTATCCTGGAACACAAGCAATAAGACCTTCAAAGTATAATCCATGAAAGTTTAGTTGCAATGCATACCTCTGCAGCACAAAGGCTGCCTACGTTCTGCCCTTAAATATTGTGTTCAGGCCTGCACCAGCAGCACACCTGACCTCCCCAGCCATCTTTAAAATGACAGAGAGAATTAGAGACAGGTGTATTTAGGTATAATGAATACAGCACTTGGTCTGTGGAGGGCAAACATGCCTGGATGTGCCCATCCAGATTTCCAGCTTCATAAATAAGCCCTTGTCCCTGTCTCAGCCCTGGAGCTGTGCAGCAGCACATCTGAAATAAAGAAACCAAAGCTCAACTGGTACCTTTCCTGCAGCTGTAATTCTTCACAAGTTCTGTGAAACAGAGGAGTTGAGGGGGTACATCAGCTAACAATCCAGCCCCGTTGAAATAGGCTCTCACAATGTAATTGCATTTACTTCAAGATCAGACCCGTTCTTCAGCCAAAGTCCTGCCAGAGAGAAAACAACATTTACACTGAAAAGATCAGTTTTAGGAAACCTGACTGTGCATATTTGTGAATCTCCTTTGTGAAATTTCACTTTTTCCCCCAGAACTTTGTATAGTTGACTACACTGATTCATTTCTTTCTTACTTTTTCCCCCAGAACTTTGTATAGTTGACTACACTGATTCATTTCTTTCTT